CATCGCCAAATATGTGTTTAAGTTTTCAAAATCGCCTGGACTTGGTCATTTTGTGTTGTGCTTTTTTTGTGCTTTTGTTTGTGGTGACTGTTACAGGGCCGGGGAGACACCCAACGTGTTGTTGTTTTTCCCATGCTGGGATCGGTCATGCGTCATGCGCCCCTTTTTATCAAGCTGTCTCTGAAACAGAATTCTTGATTGTCCTCCCGCGCCCGTGATGTACACGCTTCGGCAGAGGCGATGTAAAGCGCGGCTTTCAACTGTGATGTGCCCTCTTGACCAATTTGTGTGTCTCCTGGCCATTGGGTCCACCCGCGTCTGTCGCCTTAGATGTGAGCTCAGGAATGGTTTCATGGGATTATGTTCAGAGGTATGAATGCGACTACTTGTAATCGCTTTTCTTGCACGACATTCCACGGTACTCCCTTGAACATGCGCTAAAGCCGCCGACCAAAAAGTGTGGATACAGGTATAATAACATAGAACGCAATAGTGTGAAAGAACACCACAATCGCCCGTCTCTAGAATCACAGATTGCGCGTGCGCAGCATCTGCCATATTCTTGCAGAAGGTATACCAGCTCTGTGATCCCACAGCCCCTGGTGCTGCTCCATGGCGCATGCTGCTGCGCCGTGGCTGTCAGCATGTTACTTCAACTGTGGATTTGTTTTTAGAGTGCGAAGACCCTACGAAGACATATAGCTTGTCGGGCAACCAGCGAGGGAGTACAGGTTGAGTTGTAGAATACAAGGTTTTGAGAGGTTTGGCCTTTCATTGCTTTCAAGGTACGTGGCATATGGCTCGCTCTTTGCCTTCCCAAGCCTGGTGATAACCTTCGCACTCAGAAGCATCTTGCATTGTCAAAAAAGACGTTGTCACGCTTTTGCCTGAGGTTCTCGGTGGGTGAAGTTTTTAATCCAGAAGGGTATGAAGGAAGTAAAATTGGGTTAGCAGCCATCCTCGAAAGCCAAGGATTTATTGGAGAAGAATCGGCCTCTGCCGCGACATGAAGCGTGTAACAAGCTGAAAGCAATGACGGGTGTATTCAGGTGGAGCTTTGCAGCAGAAGTCAGGAGAATCATCTGACGGAGCTCGCAGGTTTCACGTTCAATGCAATCTTGATGAAAACCCTTGCATCTACTCGTGCATGCAAGCACGTCCGAGATTTGAATCGTGCGATGGGCATGGCTGCAGTGTCAAAGTCTCAAATGCTGGCACCCAAAATCACAGTGATGGCAATACACGTAGCAAAAACACTTCCAAAGTCTGTAGCACAAACTCTGCTGCATCGGTGACATGAAACCCTGTCGCTGAGGCTGCGAAAAAATACCTAAGACCCTAAGAAGTACTAAGGTCTTCAAGTTGCTTCTCTAGTTCCATCAACAGATGCCTCCTTGCTTCTTCTACCACTGTCCCCGCGATCTGCGCAGGATTTATTGTGCATAGCAGCATACCTAGTTCACATTTTTCGGAGAATTTGAAGTTTTTATTTGCAAGAGACATTTCTCATGTGTACATGGCTCCTCATTCGGCTGCTGCTGCTTTT